AATTATCTGTAACAAGGTGCAGAGGTGAGATGTAATGTGCATTTAAGTCTAGTTTACAATCCTTATATTTTGCTTGAGTATTTACATTTTCTACTTTATTCTCATATTCAACTTCACTTCCAGCTAATTATTGTTTTACTTGTATTTACTGTTGAATTGATATATTCACATAAATCTGACAAAACATTGTGATTTATATAGCATACGGCAAGACTGAGCACAACGCCTATTGAAATGGGAACATATTAAGAAATTAACAATCCTGACCATGTGATGCAGATATTTGTTTCCTGCACCTGAAGAAGAATCAAGACAATCAAGGAATATTTCATGATCCTTTTTTAAATGTTCTGCAATTCTTGCAGCAGCATTTTGCAAGGGGGTTGTTTTAATTCTTTTTACATCTGTTACAATGCAGAAGTGTACTTACTTTTATTGAAGTTGTATTTTTGGGCTCATATTTTCACTCTGGTCCATGTGACCTGCTTGTTTTCAAATATATATTATCTATCATAATGATAAAAACACGTTTATCTCTTCATCTAAAAGTAACAAAAGAATGGACGATATAGACACATTGTATAAAATTTGATAAATTAGCTCCATCATTTTCAAATGCTTACAGATGAATTAGAAATAATCCAGCATAGGTCTAAATGGATCATAATGCATTATGAGGACTTATTTATTTATATTTTACAACGACCACTTCATTTTTTCAATGCTCCCTGAATGCAGCATTTGACCCTGGGAGCAAACGGGAAACCGCGCTTCCTGTCTCATTCCAACACTGTCATGTCCCCTATCTACTATACTCAGTACTCTGTCAAGTGTAGGACTGAGCTCACTTTGAGTGAAGACAACTACACACGATCTCTCTCTGTCTTAAACTCTACTTCAAAGTGTTACTTTGATCTTAAATTATTTTATATTGAATGGTAAGTCGACGATTACATTTTCGATAAAACATATTGGAACGCGTCCTGACGGTTACGCACGTTCCGTTTCCGCTCCGGGGCGTGTTCTATAAACCGACAGTTTGCCGCGTGCTCTGTGCCGCCGTGTGAACGCTCAACGCTTCTCATGTTGTCTTCTTTTGTTGGCGGATAATTTCACCACGAAATGGAGGCGTTCAGCCAAATAATGTTGGACTATCCAGAGTTGATGTACGGAGGAGTTGGAGTTACGGCGTTTGCCGCCGGTGGAGCGCTGATATACAAAATTGCTACCAGGTAAAGTAACGTGAGGACTGAGCACCAGCGCGTTTGTTTTTAGCTAGCTTCAAGCTAACGTCAGAGTTAGCCAACCGTGTTCGGTTGTTAAACAGCGGTGGTGCTTGTGACATGATGCCGGCAGCAGGCGACGTGAGGACATTTGTCCTGAACCACCGCGTGTGGTGTTTTCATCTACGCTAGCCCAGACGCTAACTTTGCTAGCTGTCCTGCTAGCTAGCGCAACCTAGTATTGTGAGTAATTCAAGCACGTCAAGGAAAACCCAACAGACAGAAGAGATCTCAGACAGTTACCCTACTTTTAAAGTTTTTCTTTTGTGTAATAATATTTTTTACAATACATTTCATGAGACAGAACAGAAGCTTAAAAATATAAACATGTATTAAGAAAGTAACATTTGTTGAAACACTTCAATGTTTGAAAAAGATTGAAGCAACTTTAAGATTGCAATTTAAGTTGAAGTAGTTAAAAGTAAGACTTTGAAAGAAAGTGTTCTTTTTTAACATGTCTACAGAGGAGGTATTTCTACTATGTAGTGGGAGGAAGGTCCAAATATTTGGTGCTTAATTTCAGAAAGCTGCTTCTCTATTTTTTCTGTAGTTCTCTTGTATGTAGCAATCCAGTACTAGGTGACCCCAGAGAGCAGATAGGAACATCAAATGAGAGACTTTTTAAAAGTTTAGATGGTACCAGGCCGATTTTGGCTAGAGAAACAAGTGGCTACCAGTGAAGTGATGCTAGTACTGATGTGATATGTTCTCTTTCTAGCTGCAGAATGTTAAACAAGTTACAGCTGAAAATATAATAAAATACACTAAAAGTAATATTTGTGCAGCCACTAGAAGCATTTTCCCACAATAGAAGCACTTTAAGAAAATATTTAAACTTTGAAAGGCATCAACAGTTCAAATCACATCATGTAAAAACTCCACCTGTTCTATGCAGAAAGAAGCCGACCCATGCAAGTGTGAACTGCTGGTTCTGTGATGAGAACACAGTGGTGCCCTATGGGAACAAAAACTGCTGGGACTGTCCCAGCTGTGACCAGTACAATGGCTTCCAGGAGGTAAGTTAAAAAGTACAACACCTGTCAATTATTTAATTGGTGATTCGGAAAACAATGTGGATTTATGTTTTTTTTGTGCATGTTTTCTGTTTTTATACTTCTTTTTGTTTTGATCTGTCTTGTTTTCAGAATGGAGATTACAACAAAACCATCCCAGCTCAGCACAAAGCAGATCTAAACTATGCAGTATCTGGAAGCCTTCACCCATCTGAGACACTCAAGACACAGCAGTGGGTCAACTGTCAAATGCTATTGTGCAAGAAGTGCAATAACAACCAGTCTTTAAAGATCAAGCAGTTGGCATCATTTATCCCGAGGGATGATGTATGTACTATTATTTCCTGTTGATTATAATGCCCCATAAATTGTTAAAACATTAAATGTTTTACTTTTTGTTTTTATTGTAGGAAAACTATGATGAAGAAATTGAAGCCTACAAGCACCACCTGGAGCAGACCTATAAGTTATGCAGGCCATGTCAGACTGCAGTGGAGTACTACATTAAATATCAAAACCGCCAGCTACGTACAGTGCTCCTTAACCATCAGCTTCGACACTCCCGAGACTCAGTCAAGAGCTTTGAAAAGGTGTGTTCACCCCTAATTCAAAACTCCACACACTTGACAAGTGGTTACTTTTTATATTTGGTAATTATTAAATTAACATTATTTTATTCTATTCTTTCTTAGTTTTGTTTTTGCACTTTATGGCATTACCTTACTGAATATTACTGTGTGCCACCACAGTAGAAATAAGATAACATGACCTTGGTTTTTAATGACTTTTCCTTTTCATTTGTATATGCCCAGAGTTGATGCTCATTCAGTTTGTCACTGTTCGCTCCCACTTGTTGTGAAACTTTGCTGGATTTACTGAAAACCTGTTCTCTCTCCTACAGACCTCCTATTCCCTGACCTCTCCCATCGGAGTCACACTGCTAAGGGCTCTTGCCTTCCTGCTCTGTGCTTTCCTAGCTGCCACATGTTTCTGTGATTTTCCGGACTTGCCTCTTTCACCTAGTACCCCAAAGACATTGAGTGGTGGTGTCACTCCTCTAAAAGCCGTGAATGAATCCACCACCAAAAATGAGAGCAGTGGAGACGCAACTGTTTTGCAGGGTCTCCTGGAGCTGATCCCAAATGCTACCATAGAAAATGCCAAGCTGGTGTGGCAACACGGGAGGGACAACCAGCTGGCTGTGGTCTCTGTTGGCCTATTGACTTGCCTCATGTCTATCTTCTTAGCAGGATCTCCAAGGTTAGCAGTCACCACCCCTTTATTTGCCTTTGTATCCAAGAGATGTTAACAAGTAACAGTAACAACTCTGCGTGTTCATTTGTATCTGTATTTTTAGGCTGAGGAGAATCGATGCTGTGGCCTCTGTCCTGTGGTTCCTCCTCCTGTGCGTCTACCTGGCTGAGAGCTACTTGTCTGGTGCCTCGAGCTGGATGGACATGGCAAAGCACAGTATCATCCCTGTGTGTTGCCTTGTCAGCTTTGCTGCTGCTGCGGCAACTCGCAAACCACAGGGTCTACGAAGAGGCAAATATCGAAGGTCAGAATCTGAGCAGTAATCTTCAAATTTTGTTTGAAACATGGGATTGTGTTCATTAGTGAATGACAAACTCAATACATAGGATCATGTATGTATGTGTGACCCCTGATTGGAAAATTTGACAAGTATTACTTGCTTAATGACATCAAAACCTCATCTTTATGCACATGTGCACCACAAAGTACACTCGAAAATTGTGGGGGGGCAAAATGTGTCACAAATCTTAACGTATTCATCGTTTTTCTTCATCTGATTATGTGCATTTCAAATTTACAAAAAAAATTGAGATGGCCCGACCTTCAGAGAGGAATGAAATGCATTTAAATATGTAATTTAAAAAAAACGGTAGAGTAGGATTTTAGCATTCAACTACCTTACTAGCACTAACCTATATATTCTAAACTACTACGTTTAAACGCATTTTGATCTGGTGTAGCTGTGGTTTGAAAATGGTTCACTAACTTAAGCTTCAGCTCATTGCATGAAATACTAATTTATTTGTGATGACCCTGCAGGTCATACTCAAGGTTTGATATTTTAAATAATCACTTATCTCCTTTATTGCTTCACATCTACAATTTCTGAAAAAAGAATGGCCTTGAAACTTTCTCAAGTGTTAATAACTACTACTTTTAAAACTGTCACTTATCTATGGCAGACATGCATCATTAGTGATGAAGGAACAGATCAGTTCTCAAGGCAGAGCCAGAATATTTGAGTGGATATGTGGATATGTGGTTATGTGAAGTGGCTGACTTTTTATTAATTTAGCGATGATGAATGTTAACACATGGTAGTCCAAAACCTGTTTGAAGTGCCACTTGAGATCATTGAAAAGAAAGTTGCTTATGAAAAGCAGTCACTAGTTTTTTTCTTTCCGAGAACTACTGCAATAGTTTAAATGCTTTGCTGATTGCTGCTGATCTCTGTCCTGTTATCAGGCACAATTTTTTATCCTTGCTTTGAACATATTTGCCTCAGAGGATCTATAATCCTGTATACTACACCCTCTGTCCTTTGACACTCAAATCATTACTGTTATGTTTTTGTTTCTCTCTGCTGTGCCCAAAACATTTTATTTGTTGGTTGAACTATCCCTTGAAGCAGCAGAAGTTACAATTACGCAGCTGCGGGACATCGCAAAAAACATAGTGGAAAACATTAATCGATTAGACGGATTATTCTGTCTCTGAATCTATGCACAGTCGTCTGCATCGCGATGCATCAGGAAAGAATATGTCATAAACAAAAATACATATTCAAGCTATAGAGTCCTAGCATTAAGTTGACTTAGGCCTACTTTTATTCGAGGAATTACAGTGGTTATATCAGAAACCTGACGTAGCAGCTAATCAGCAGACACGGTCCTTTTATCAACAATAGAATGTGAAATGCAGCAGATCAGCGACGCAGCCGTCACAGTGCGGCCTTGGTGTACAAAGTTTTTGTGTGACTTGTTGTATGACGTATTGTTTTATCTTAAATGTTGTATTTATGTAAAAAACTCAACAGCATTAGAAAGAGTTGCACAAGTGAGAAGTTGGACTGTCATCTTTTATTCTACTTCGATAGAATCCGATAAATGCTTCTTTGCAACTAGCAGCAAGAAATACTAGTTTTCAGTAGCAGCTGATTGTCACGTCACTTGATCCCTCCCATTAATACTGATTGATTTTGCATGTTTTAACATTTAACTTTGCCAATGTATTTCCATTAACCTATTTTTATTTGTGTTGGAATGTACTGAGTGTAGGGGGATATTTATTTGGCAGTACTGTGAATATAAGTATTACAAAGTAATAGCTGTAGAGAGTGAACATAGATTGTATTTGATGGCTATTGCATGGGTTAAATTGCATGTTGTGTTTGTGTTGTAGATGGATCTATGTTCTCAAGCTAGTGCCTCTGGTACTGTAGCCTTGAAGCTTTAAATAGTGAAGTACTGCCAAATTTAAGACACTATAGATGCAGTGGTAGGCTATGAGGACAGTATTGATTTGAGAGAATAAGAGTGACTGAAATTGCACCTGCTCTTCAACCAGTCGTTTGGTTGCTTGAGGGAAAGAAAATCAGATCATCCAAGAGTCTCTTCTTTTTTTAAATTGTCATTAATGTATCATGTAAATATTTGCATCGCTGAAGATTATCATCTATATTTAAACACATGCATTTCAACCCTAATGTAGGCAAGATAGCTGAAAATATATGAAGAAGGCATGGTGTACTGTAGAGGAGTTGTGATGTGTTTTAATGGACTGAAAACTGTCTGTAGAAAGCTCAATGGTCTGCACCTGGTGGTGTGTGTATTCTCACTTTTTTTTAAGATACAAATTTAAAAAATGTGTGTCTTTGCTAATGTTTCGATGCTGTGTTGTATAGGCTCACTTAGAATCTATATTGTGCATGTTTGTTATACCATGATACAATGATGAGAGAAAGTGAGTGAATCCTGTGGAACTATTTAGTTTTTTGGGTTAAGTGATCATTAAATGTGATCTGATCTTCATCTAATTCAAAAGTATAAACAAACACAAACAGGTGAACCTAGTTGAACTTTCTGCTCCTGCAGATCAGACATTTACAACGATTCATTTTCTGCAGAACTGCTTCAGTGCAGCCAGATTAGAAGGATCATGTCTGGTGTGAATCCCCCTCTTCATTACCTCACAGCATCTCTAATGGGGTAATGACTGGGCCAGTTCAGAAAAGCCCCTTGATAAACTGGGGAATTGATTTTTCCCCACATTGGTCTCAAGCAGTCCAGGCCCAGTGATGGCAAAGCAGCCCTGTTTCTCCCTCCATCCTACTTTACCTTTTGGATGACTTGGATGAAGATCTGACCATATTTTAAGACAAGTTTAGACATTCATTTCAAAAAGCTCTTTTCTAGCCACTGTGTATTTATAACATAAATAGCCAAGGTTTGTGGCTATTTCTTTTTAGAGTTTTTGTATCTATTTAAGAAAATGACTGTAACCCCTCACTAAGCATTAAGCTCCTGAAGCACTACGTTGTAGCTTTTATGGTATTCAAGTTTAATACCGACACGAACATGTATGTTCGTTTTTCAACAATCACGGCGATAAAACTACCTTTTTACTAATGTAAACCATGAATGTCTTTTTTTAACCGTCCTGTATTGTTCTAGAGATCCAGTATGTAGCTGAAATGTGATTATGGTTTAGTTTTACTGAAGTGTTTAACTTTGTGTGTTGCAGAAACATATATATTAATATGCCACGTTTTGGTACTTTTCAAGACAATTAAAGGTCGAGTAAGCAATTCTTAACAATGCACCCCAACCCTCTTTAGTCCTCTTCAGGAGCTCCATACCCAAATTCATGGTTACCAATTGCTACGGCAACAACCAAATGGCAGTATCCAGATTGCGATATAAGGCAAGAAAGTGGATATGCTACAAGTATTAGTATTGGTATTGTTTTAACGAAACGGCATTGACAGAAGAGGTGACTGTAGGTTTGTAGCTAAGCTAACTAGGAAGCAAACATTACAGACATTGCGTTTTTTATGAATACAGAGCAAAAAAATAGACTGTGCTAGCAAACATGTGTATTTAGGTCTTTGTTGCAGGAAAACCCTTCTCATGTCGTACAAACTAATAGAATATAGACTAAACAAGGCGATGACTAACTGTCTATACATTTGCTGCTGCAAGGCCAACGCACAGAGCAATACTCACTTCAGTCTTGCTCCTATAGCTAACATCACAACAACAACAAATCTTAGCAAAAAGAAAGTAAGCTGGTAACTTCACGTTGCCACAGGTACCTGCTTATTAACTCACCATTTGGGATGTAAATATCACAAACAATAGCAAACACGGGTGATTTATAAATTGGCACTACTCATTAGCTTGAGATTCACCATCTCTCACTCCCACTGTCCTCTTCCCCCCCCATCTCCCCTCTTCTCCCCTCTCCTTTGTTCTGTCAATGAGCATGAACGTCCCATGTTGCTGATTGGCTGTAATTGTGTTGTGTGGCTTTGCACATGCTACATTCGCTGAAGGTGACAAAGTGTTTAGCATCAGAATCGCTTACTCTACCTTAGAGCAATAACTTGCAACTCCAACCTATAGTACAAATAAGCTAATAAATCTAGATGTGTCAGTTAGATTATTTACTATGTATACATTCTACTGCATCTATAGAAAAGGAGCTCCATCCATGAGGAAAGGCTTCCTGCAACATACCCAAGTGAAACAATGTTTTGGCTGCTTACATGTTGAAGTTGGATGTCTTGCTTGTGTTGTTTGGTTCAGATTTATTTGAATGCTTGCTGTATATGGAGAGTAATAAATAACTGATGACTGGATATGTCTTTTTTTTTTTTTTTTTTGTTCAACTTAAACACAGTATCCACTTTGTGTGTTTCTGTCTGGTTTGAAAGGAAAATATCAGCTTGATGTTGGCCTTGACAGCTGTCATTTGTTTCTAGCTTGAGTGCCACTAAAAATACTATAACTATGAAAATAAAAAACTACTTTGACCCAAAAGAGTGAGAGTTGAGCCATGTTGCTGGGCAGCATTTCTCCGGTAGCTTTTGTTCACATGGCACTTTCACCTGCTGTGTGCTGTCAGACAGCTGCAGCAGCATTTTAGCGACAGCCTCGCCACACACTGCTGCCATCACTCAAGTGCCCAGATTAAATGGGTATTAGAGCTGTGTGGTAGAAAGTCTCTGCACCGACTTGATTATAACACATTTGTATTAATATTGTACTTTGACCACGGTGTGGAACAAAAAACGATTCACACAATCTTAAACTGAAAATCCTAATGTTCCCCATGGAGTCATCTTCTGCGGCTGCTGTGATGTGCTGTGGTTTTGAAAGTTTTCAATGATGATTTTGATATCTGGTAGTAGACCGTTGCATTGCTCTTGTGTTGCAGATACCTTGCAGGCAGCCCTGCAGTGCCCCCATTCAGCAGTCAGCTTCCTCTGCTCAGGCCTGACCTGGCTGAGAACTTCATCCCCACCCCGCCCCCGAACCTCTCCAAGCTTTTCAGCTGCCAACAGAGTCGTCGCATGTGCAAAGATTCCCCTTCCTCGCTGCCTGGGCGCCTCAGCAGAGCCCTCTGCCTCGGCACCATCCCCTCCTTCAAACGGACAGGTAACTAAATTCATTTCTCTCACGTTGACTTGACAGACGAGAGAAAAATTGGACAAAAGACGTTGATACCAATATTTGCAGTGAACGAATATTGTGCTTATATTTTGGCAATATATCAGTTTATTTATATTCGGTATATTTTTAATGATATTGCACAAGAATTTGCAACAAACATTTATGTAGGTAGTATGATTTTACACGAGGTGGTTTTGTCAAAATAAATAAATATAAAGGTGTCCCCATGCTGACGGTCTAGCCCCGCCCTGCCTATCTGTTGTTGAGCCCCATGTTGTCGCTGGTGGGGTGGGAGGGAGGTGCAGCCCATCTCTCCTGGCCTCGTCTGGCTTCACTCCTTTCAGCCTCATGCATACTGTTTTCTCTCTTTCCTTTACAAGCAGCACTTCGTTATAACAATGAACTGAATTTTGTATTGTTGACAAAGACGGCCATTGGAAAACTAGACCTTTAAATTTTAAGAAATTCTGAACAGATTTAATTATTTGCTGCTTATAATTCATGCAAATTCCACAACAAATGAAACATAAAAAACTGTTATTGTCTAATGTGTTATCATGAAGCTGCCTACTTTCACTTGGAGATTTGTTTTTGACCAACTGACTTCAACTGGTTGTGAAGAATGGTGTGACTGTATTTTGTGTACTTCCAGATTCTGGTTACCTGTTCAGTGGAAGCAGACCAGCCTCACAATATAAAGATTCCCCGCCTTCAGGTATTAAAACTCCAGACTGTTTCAGGATCTTCTCCTCATCCCTGTGTTTTAAATAATTCCTATCCCCTTGTGATTGACATTTTTTCTGCTTTTTGTTTGCAACAGACTACTTTTCACTCAAGTCTGGGAGCCACCTATCATCTCCCAGTCCATCTCCCACTCCTTCAATTGCTGGGTCATGTACATCCAGCCTTTGTTCTGCCAGACAGCGCCGCCCCCTCATCAGCCCTGCTCGCCTCAACATCTGCACTCAGAAACTCTGGCTTTTCACAACGGAGCCAGAACCTAAGCATTCACCCCCACCCACGTCTCCTCTATATTCCACTGTAGGATCGGCCTCTCCCCTTTACAGTGGCTGCTTTTCACCTGACACATCACCCTTCCAAAGCCAGAGTGGTAAGTACACCTGATGTTCAACTGTTTACTGTTTATTTATGAAGTGGCGGTAGAAACCTGCACTGCTGCAGTATCATTCCTGATAGTACCACCTCCCCAGATGGCAAAATAAAACATTCTCAAATCTTATCTTATAGAAAAGATTTCATATCTATAAACATCATGTTTAGATGGTTTTATATATATATTTCTACATGATGTCAATATAACGACCTGTTTGCAGATTTGAGTGGGAGAGACAACAGTGTTATTGATGAGGAAGAGAGGAGCGAGAGATGCAGCTCGTCAGGGTCCTCCGCCTGTGTGGTCGGCACAACAACACAGGATCCGGAGAGCATTCCTCCTCCGAACGGTAAGCTGGTCTAATGGGGACGGAAACTGTGTCCACAAACTATCTCAAGTTTAATTCATTGTTTTGATAAATTGCCTGCCCCTCATCATGGTCCTGGGCCTTCTGAAATACAATTGTTATCCTAATGTAAAGTTTTTAAAGGATATTTGCCATTTTCAAATCTTTAAACAATACATTGAAATCTTTTTCTGATGCCTTGTCTAAACTTGCAGATATTTTTTCAACCGATATATTCCAAACAACCTTTATTTTACAAAATATCTACAACACAAAAACCACTACAAATGCACAAACATACATGCCAGGCCAATAGGTGTCAGAATATGAGCATTAGTGTGGACAGGGCCTCAGTGTATGCCCAAAATTCACGTGGAGTTTCTCGAGGGTCCATTATTTTCAACATCTCTCAACACTTGTACTTTCAATGGTTTTAGATTACACCGTCAGTCCTGTAACATATCTGTAAACCATATTCAGTAAATATGGAACCTTCATGCCATGACGATGAAATGTATTTTCTCTGTGATTCTCCAGGTTTGCTGAAGCGTCTTATCTTGCCGGGGCTGTTAACAGCGAGCCTGACCACCAACCTGGTCTTCGCCTGCCTTTATATCTGCTACTACTGGAGATGATTGATGCCCTGTCCTGATTCCTCTCCATTGGTCCTACCCCTATATATGAAGTGCCCTGAGAGTGTCGCCCTCCTAATGGAGCTGCAGGGGAGAGGGCTAGAATATGGAGCTAAATTGCAAACACTGGATTGCAAATACAAAACCCCATTAACAAACTAATGCATTTTGTTTTGCCAATACAAAACGCACCTGACAAACAAATACATTACATATTACTAATATTGAACAAATAGCCTGCCGCATTTTTTACAAGTACAAAACATAAATCTCACAAGTACAAAAAAGTGACCCCCCCCCATTAAGACAAAAAATATTATTTTTACAAATACAAAAAAATATATTCTACAAGTATGACACAAAAAATATCACGTGACTTTTGTCCCAATTTTTCAATTGGGATTCACTCAGAATTCAGCAGATTCGGTTTGATTCCACATCAAATTTGGACTAAATTGCTGTATTTTGTTTGATATAAGGTACTACAGCAGTGGTTTAGTCCAAAAGTACTTCATAGTATTTGTACAAATACTTTGAAACGATCTTATTGCAAGAACATGAAGCGCATAAACTACCTATGGAAGGAAAAGTAGTGTCAGCTACCGGAGGAGATAATATTAGACTTGGATTCATTTCAAGTTAAAGTTGTGGGACTTCTAACACTCTCCTACACTTCAGATGTTCCTACTTTGTATTGTATGTACTCTCTTAACGTTATTTTGAAAACTGTAAGTAGTTGCTTAATTCTATTGTGAAACTAAATGCATTAGTTAGTTAATGGGTTTTGAATCTGCAAACCACACTGTGACTGGTAGGGAAGTAGTAAAACATGGTTTGTTTATTAAGGTTAGCCATAAATTTAGCTCCATACTAAAAAATCTTCCTCAATATCAACAAACATTATAATAGTAACTCCTCTGGGAACTGCGGGACTGACGTCAGTCAGCGTGATTACGTTATTTCAGTTTAACGTTAGTTCTATAGAAACAGAAAATGTTGTAACACGAGCGGGGGTTTTTTAAACTTCATATACGGGACTCTGGAGTAACAAATGTTACTTGTTACTTTCACTCAGACTGTTTACATGCTTGTTTTCACAGTATGAAAAGATGAAATTACATTTTTAATTTCATACTTAGATTTGTCAGCATTTTACCCACAGCAGTCGCCATGTTGATTTGCTTTGCCCGTTCATAAAGCATTTGGGAATTTCCATCTACCCCTTCATTTTCAGGGGGGCCCTGAATACACTACAGTTGAAGGGGTGTTGAAGGGCTAGAGGGCCGCTACCCCTACATCACATAGAGAAGTGGGACAACACGACTCCTTCAGGGCCACCCACAAAACAAAGCGAGCCAAGCAGTAGGGCTAAGGGGTAAATTGGTACAGGGCTTAAATATGGGTCTGCTGCTGTCATGTCTTTAGACCTGGAGGTCGTTCAGCGATATCAGAAAACATCAGATCCTGGCAGTTACATGTATGTTGCTGTTAATCAGAAATACAGACGTCAGCAAATGGATTTCAATCAGTCCTCCTGTCTGAGTGAAGTGACAAGAAAACTATGAAGATGAAATGAAATATTTGGAATGAATTGATGGCTAGAAAATATTTTTGGCTTTCGTCATCTCTTAGTTATGACCGCTGGTACATTTTGGAGAAGTTTAGAGTTTGCATTATCTAGGGAACCAGGCCAAAAAGAGACATCTCAAACAAACCAGTGAGACTTTTATCTAGAGAATTTACAATATACTGATTGGGATGAGTGCATTAGTTCTCCTGAATGAACAACAGTTATATTACTCTGCAGCAGCCAAAACATTGGAAAGCATTCAGCAGCATGTTATGTTTGTGTTGTGGGTTTTGCATTTTTTAAATTTGTACAGATTTTCACTTTGTAAAGTCATGATTACACAGCAGTGGTGTTTGCGATTGTCTTTGTATGTACAGGCGGATGACAAGTTAAAGGTAAAACCTACATGAAGTGTCTTAGTAAGGTGCCGCAGACCATGACTGGATGTTAATTCCTTAATTGTATCATGCTGTACCGCTGTGTGGAAGCAACTTTATTCACTATGTTTCTCCACCTGTTTGTTCAGGTTTTTCTTTTAATCTGTCACCAGTCTATCTAATTCTATCCTGTAATTTAGTTTCACGGTTTACAGTCAAGATTCTGATATCAGGGTCATTTAGATCAGATCACATGTCACAGGTACAACAGAAACTGTATTTCATCAAACCATTGAATTATCTGATGTGTTCTTTAGTTTGTAAATGTGACAAAACTCCAATGGTCAAGTGCAATATTTACAAAAAATGTTTTCTTAATTTATATTAAATTCACATTTCCTTGACGTTTTGCATAAAAAGTGAACAGACTATAAAATGTATACAGACTTTTCTTAAAACTCTACAAGTCAAATCTGATTCATGCACTTGTTATTCTGAAGTGTATTTTTGTGCGCTTGGTTGTGTTGTATTTTGAATTTGTCAAATCAAATATATGAGCACAGATGTTTGATTTCTTGTTTGCGTCAATGCCAAACATATGTTTTACAAAAAGTTGTACATTTGTAAAATGTGTGTAAACAGGTTACAGTGAGCTTGTTTTCCATGTAAAACATTGTGTGTTGTTGTTTTCGTAGAGTTTTGTATTGTTGAATAACCATGCACCAGGTTTTAAAGTCAATTACTGAAACGAATGAAATGAAAAAAAAAAAAAAACACTTAAAAGTTTGTGAGAAGAAAACTAACTACTGAAAGACTGTCAAATGTTAACTCAAACTCAATTAGTCAACCTTACAATGAATAATATTTCGTTTAGTTTTTTAAAGCCAACATGATTCAACTTACTGAATGCAAACTTGTGCATTTGTACGTGGTGTGTAACCTGGTGTAGGTTTATTTTATTTTTTTCGCTGAAAGGGCTCATCCATTGAAAGAGGGTGAACATGTTGAAGTGTAACTGTGCTCTCATGCTTAACTCTCCTGAATGAGACACATTGTTCGCTCTCAGAAATGTATTTTTGAATTTGTATTTATTTTTAAATTTGTATTTAAAGTGTAATTAAAACATTGTGGATTTTTTGTGATATGTGATCACTTAACTTCTATGTTAAATCAAGGTCGTTCATTTCACACTCTTTGACAGGAGGTATGAATAAATGTTCTCTGTGTTAGTATTTTCACTAATTGTTTGAAGGGTTATTACGATGTCCAGTGCAAATGTTTATCTGCAGAAGCTGTTTGGTCTGTGTGATTGTAAGAAACAACGTTGGCTTGTTTCATTTTGACCAATACTTTTTGAATAAAATGTTATATTTCTAGTTATTCTTGTGTTCTGTAGCTCACCGGTACAGAAATCTGCTTTCCTTGGTGATGTGTGTTAAATAGATGGCTGCTTTGCTAATATCGCCCTCTTCTGGCATCATCAGCACATTTTACATTAAGTTCAGCAGCAGCAGCTTCCCCTCTTTAGATGCATATTTAAGCTGATGAATACACATTTGTTGAGTATTTCTGACAAATAATATAAAAAAAAACTGTAAACTGAAGTTTTGTGGGAACTCACAAATCTGAAATGTTGCCATTGCAATGAAAGTGTGAATCTGAGACATTTGATGATGAAGCACATGCATTACTGACAAAGTAGTTAATGACTAAATAAAGGCTAAATGGATTGAGACAAATAACATGATAACTCATTAAAAAGATGTCAAATAAAGGGAAAACTGAAGAGGGTTCCAAAGATTTGTGTAAGATAATTTCCTCACAACATTCCCATTCTGTCCTTGGGCGAGATACTGAACCCCATGTTGCTCCTTCTCATAGAAGTGGTGCTGCATCTTAGATTAGCATGATAGCATGTTAACCATTGCTAAGTAGCACCTTAAATTCAGCTGGGTTGATGAGAGTTACTTTGCAGGTTATTTGGTTTGGAACCAGAGCTCTGGACAATCTAACAATTTGACCTCATATGGCCTCAATGGATCTTGGACTACTTTCTTCCTTGGGTCATGACCCACCCCTCCACAAAATTTCATGGAAATTGGTTGAGTAGTTTTTACGTAATCCTGCAAACAAACAGACTGACACAGAGAAACTAAAAGTTATCTTTACCTCCTTGGCAGAAGTAATATTAAGTTCGATTCTAAAGTACAGTAATTGTGTCAAACCTCATATCACAGTCATTTGCAAAACAGACTCAAAAGTTTCAGCCCTGCAGCTTGTTTGCAGACGGGGCTTTTTGCCCACAGTTGAAAATAGGTTTAGTTACTGTTGAGATGCAACTGGTGGGAAGCAGGTTCATAAAGTAAGTCTGCAGCTTACGCCAAAAGTTTCTCTTCTGCACTATCTCTTCCTGTTTTCACCAGCTGGTCTGAGGTGCATTCACAAACACACAGAATGTGCCCGATCTTAATGCAGGCTCACAGCAGTTTTAAGAGGCAGCTTAGTTAATACACAATGAGAATAAACACCTGCAAACCAAACTGACAACCACTTAGTTTGTATATTTTTGTGGACCTGTGACATATCTGGTTACCTAAATATCAACTGACAAAGAATCACATATACGTTTTACATACTGAGGGTGAATAGTTGTAGTGTCATGCCGTTGATGTTGGCCCCATCATTTCCCCTTTCTACTATTGCGGTTTGTTTTCCACTTGTACGTCCGTCGTGTCATTGTCAACTACTTTTTCTTTTAATTTATTTTATTGAGCATTTTACACGGCACTGGTTTATACACTGATTTATTTTACCTGCTTTCTTATAAACCTTATGTGTTATGACCTTTTCTGTTTAACTTGCCTTTGAAAAG